TGAAAACTAGCTGAACATTCTGTTAGAGCGGAAGCCGCAATGGCGTTCTGAGAGACATGTTTACTCATGTCTATTGCGATGGCTTAGCCTTTTCTAAATTGCGACATTTTGCAGGCTTTCCTTGCATGCTTCAAACAGCCACAAGACAAAATGTTTGGTTTATGTTGTCTGTTTTTGTTTTTGTATGGCTTCCGCCCACATCGATTGAAGGGAAACGACAGTAGAGTTGTAGGAAAACATTGAGCGGTTGCGCCTCTACACATACGAGTATGACGAACTTTCTGAGTAGTTGCGGCCTGTAAGGAAACGTTTATTGTCTTATTCGTTGAAATACTTGACGGCAGTGTAAAGTTAAGAGACGTGTATTGCTAATATGCAGTTCTGACTTGACTAATGCTGCTTTACTTAACCATGAGTTGTTGTTTGTATTTTATTTAATTTTGGGGGCAGGGCGCCGCCGTCCTTTGTTATCCTGCTCAGTCTCCGCATGTGGTGCTTAGTTCAAATGGTGCGTATGTGCAAATGTGTCTGCGAGGAATTTCCATTTGTTGGCCGCTGGAGCAGAAGTAAGCTGCTGCTTTCCCTCTCCGCCCTGTGATTAAGTGCTCAATGGAATATTCGCATGCACTCTGAGTCCACATCAGAATGTTTTAGTATAAAGCGGCAGTCCAACTGCTACATTTGAAAACGAAGCAAAAATTAATTCGACTAAACTTCCAATTTTATGCGCATTTTGTTGGGCTTAGTGGGAAAAAATTGTTATGGACGACTACATGAAATGTATTTTCATGTTTCACAAGACCCTTCGAATTAGTTTTTTCAGCTGGAGGATTTTGCAAAAACATGTAGGTGTGTACTCGTACATAAATACTTACCAGTATATGTTCACAACCAATGAACAAAAACTGGATGAACGGCCACAGTTTTTGTTGTTGACCATTGAACTGAGTGGAATTATGTAATAAATCAATAATAAATAAATAATTTTTCTCTTTTTTCCTTTTTTTCATACAAAAACATGTTATAAAAACAACGTCTTTGATATATTCATGAAGGGATATAGGAATACACGCTTAAACATAGTTGAAGGCTTTCTTATTTTATTCCAGTCAAGCAACACACAGAACGATAACAACATCGTTCAAGTTAATTGAAGCGATTGATTCGCAAAGCGGCCATATAAGTTACCTCTAACATTTTATTTTCCTCTTCTGATGGGAACTATTAGAACACACATCCTGACTTCGAAATGTGTTCTGCTTAAATTGATAATATCTTCTCGTAAATAGGCTTAATCGTTACACTAGTAATTTAGGCTTACATTAGGTCTATTTAGACGAAATGATTATAATCATAATAATAATAATTATAATTATTGGCCTTGAAAACTAGGAATTGGCGATCATTTTTCGCTGGTACTGACTTTACGGATCAGTATTATAAAATGGCTTATTGTTAAAACTAAATACATTTTTTGATAAATTTTTTCTTTATAAAAAAATATATAAATTTAAACGGCTCTTAAACGCTATATCCCCCTTTATCTTTATTTTGTGCGAAAAGAAAACGTTTATTGTTTTAGCCGTACCCCCAATCCCTTGTCCACATTGAGTTAAGCACACAGTCGTGACCATCGCCAGTCCTCGTTGACATCGGTCCAGTTTCATTTAAGTAGTTGAATTGTCTTTTATTGAGAAAATTGTTTGCCTGTTACTACACCTTTGACAGTTGGAGATTACTAAAGGGACCATTTGCAGTTCGTTTTGAGTGCAAGGGAACGGATACCGCTTGTTGGTCGCCTGTTGCCCACAGTTGAGCCGACTTCAAGGCCGCAGCAAGTAGTCCATCTGAGGTTCTATCATTGACTGCCTCCCACTAAATGTTGGGCTTTGCACAGACATCTACCGTTCGTGAATTGAGGTTTGAGGGCGCGCACGTGTGTCTGCAAAACAACATTCTGCATAATAAATTTCGACCGAGCCGAGCGGAGGCAGCTGCCAAGGTATATGAGTATGTTCATGTATCTCTCTCTATATTCGTATAAGGACATACAAGTAAGAAGCAATGTCATTGCTAATGACCTGACAAAGCAGCTGCTGCTGTTGGCCGCAAGGCAAGCATTAAGCATCTATGTATCAAAAGGTCTTATAAACCTTTTGTGCCAAAGCTGAAGATGAAGTTTACATCGGTACAAAGGGAATATTTATTGAAGTCGAAGGGCGTGCTTTGACGTAAACGGATTTAACATTTGCTTGGCAGGCCGTCAACGTTATCGTAGTGTGGCAGCTGAAGTGACCCTCTTGAATGTTTCGTTGTGAAGAGCCATCTAGGGTCTTGAAAACTACGCTATTTTAAAACGGCACGCGTTGAAACGTAAAGAATGCGGACGACGAACTCATTCAGCTGTGTAATTGTTAATGTGGTTACAGCTCATATGAGAAATGAACGGTCATGGCCAGGACGCTGATGATCCGTGAATGTGTAAACTTGCGTTAAACTTGCATTTAAAAGAGAAGTTTCGAATTGGGCCAACTTAAATTGTTGCTCTTCGTGTTATGTATTGAGGTACAAAGAAGACCTATTATGGTGGTGAGTACACTTTCATTCGACTAACATATTTTCCACCCAGTTTTTTATTCTAATCGGCGCAATAATTGTATTATAACATCAAGTATTCGGGCACAATGTAACTTTTTACACTCGCAAATGTGTTAGTTTTGTTATTCATTAATTTTTAAATCAATCTTGAGTAAAGTATTCAAAAATGCCTGAAATGTTTATCCGCTTGAATCCAATATAAACTAAATGGATCTGACGTAAAACCTCAGATGACATCACTGTCATATGCCGGCCGATGTACAAATTAAAAATGTAACCTCCAAGGCGTTTATGCTTCGACCTTAACGCGATTAGTGCCGATTCGTATTCAGAATTCACATTTATGGACATGAAAAAGATGTGTGTGTGTGTAGATGAAAATATTTATGCTGCCCTTTTTTGTGGAAGGACAGCTGGATCATTGTACCCTTAGGTATGTTAATGTCTTCTTGTTGTTCCGCCATTGTGTTCAATTGTTGCCGTACGGTCTGCCATATGGGAAACTTCAAGCGGAAAGTGGCCTGCAGCCGCGCAAGGAGCTGAATCAGACCGGAAGTAAGCAAATGTTGAGTAATGAAAAAACCTTTTGGGATGGATCGGCGTGCTTGAGGTTGGTGGTGAAGTCGAAGAAAGACGTACAATAGATATGTAAATTGCTTGATAAAAATTTGCTTGCAATGTTTTAATTCCATACCAAAGCGTCAATGCATAGTTTGATTTCAATGGAGCTTTCTGTAAAGAACTTCGGCAGAGTGGTCGTCAGGATAACAGCGTGCTGAATATATCGCCATGGGCTTTGGCATTTTCAGGGCCATATTCACCTCCCCCGCTATCACACCCCTTCCTCACCGTTCAGGGGGTAGGCTTAGTCTTCTCTATTTATGCAGCATATCTGGTGTACTTTTTATAGTTTCCTGCACTTTCCACTTTCCACAGACTGAGTGTCCGAGAATTTGAGCTGCATTGGTATTGATAGGTTTGTATATCAATGGTCGCATGCCTTCGCTCTAGCCTTTTATGGACATAAAAACTGCCGCTAGCGAAATGCCTTTTAATTGATTTTCTGTTTCCATTCCTCCTCCGATTTTTGCGTTATATTTTTTGCAATGGAAATAGGGAGGCCATAGAGGATTTTTTGTGAGTGTTTTCATATCAGATAATTGTTCCCTTCATGTAATTCATTTTTACAAGCACTGTTATTAAAGCTATGAATTTAATTGATTACTCACGAGTATCTTCATCAGTTGAAGTTATTTTTTGCAAAACATTATAAATTCTTAAAACAACAAACACCAGATTCTTTGGTCGATCTCGTTGCATACATAACGTCTACACTTTTGAATGTCTGTCTGTATGTATTAAATATATTTTACTTCATTTACTTAAGGAATTACACTTTTTTAAATAATAAAATTTTTTTAATATATATTTTTTTAATTTTCCATTTTTGGACAGAGTACAGACTATTTTACTGTTGGGCTTGCTCGACTTTAGCATTCTCTATTGTTAATAATTAGTGAATAGCTAAGAAATCTGTTTATACCCTGTACCCGTAGGGTAAAAAGGGTATATTAGGTTAGTGCAAAGTATGTAACATACAGAAGGAAGCATCTCCGACCCCATAAAGTATATATATTCTTGATCAGCATGACGAGAGAAATCGATCTAGACATGTCCGTCCGTCTGTCCGTCCGTCTGTCCGTCCGTCTGTCCGTCCGTCTGTCCGTCCGTCTGGATGAACGCGAGGATCTCAGAAACTATAAAAGCTAGAATAACCAAAGTTGGCATCCAGATTCTCCTAAGTCCGAGTAAGGACGAGTTTATTTTATTTTTTTGGATTTCCCCCCCCCCCCCCCCCCCCCCCCCCCCGCTACAGAATTTCGTCAATAGCGTCTACATTTCAAATGCTACCTAAACCAAACTTTGCACACATAATTTATATATAATTGTCTACTGTTGTATAATATTTTATTTAATTCGGTCAATTCTAAGAAAACTTATTAGCGAAACAAATTCTCGCCAGTACAAACCCCACAAACTGCAGCAACAAGTTCGCTCTTCTTCTTCCTCTTTTTGCTGCTGATTTGGGCGCATATAACTCAGTGACGGAAGTTTACCTGAGTACAGGGTATTACACTGTCGGGCTTGCTCGACTGTAGCGTTCTCTCTTGTTTTATTTTGCCTCAGAGCGCCGTAGTACTTATATACGTGTATAGAGTATACGAGGAAATGTTGTAAAGTTAACACGAAGGTGTTTGCTTAAGAGTGTCTCGATAAGATCCACACCCACTCCATTTTATCATTACTACAGTCGTCTGTACTGCGAAACTTTAATTATTGTAATTGCTGAAATACAAGTAGTATATAAAGACTGAAGAAAATTGCTGCTATTTTAGTGCGAACGGAAATGTTGGCATCAAAGATGCCTCCAACTCGGAGCTTACATTATGGTGAGCAGTGATACATCGAGGTAAAAAACTCTGTCGCTAACCAAATTTCCTGCCAAAAAGTTGCTTTACTGTCATACTGCCTCATGGTATGCCCCGTAAGGCCTTCTGTAACCAGCCGCTGCAGCTACGAAGGCGAAAGGAGGGAGCATCCCAGTAATTGTAACTCCTACTACGAGTGCCTTGGGAGTACGATGGTGGAACAGAGGTGCAAAAGTGGTCACTATTATCGTAATGCGACTGCTCAATGCGAAATTGATCAAGGACAGTGTAAGCCTGGCGAGTGTGAAGAGGGCTCCATTGCTGCAGATCCCAATGAACCTACGAGCTACTTCCAGTGTCTTAATGGAGAAGTTGTGAGCCAAAAGTGTCCTAGTGGAAGCTACTTCAATTACATGTGGGAAGTGTGCGTCGTTCTCAGATATGGTACGTTTGATTTCCTATTGGAGCGATGCACAGAAGGTGACATTCAACAAGATTCCGACAATTGTGCTGGATATTGGAGCTGTGTCAATGGAGAACTAGTGAATGAGCAATGCCTCGACGGCTACTACTTTGATGCCACACAAAAGAAGTGCTTGCTCGATGTTAGGGGACATTGTACTGTGGCTAGCCCAAGCGCTGAGACTTGCTTAGAGGACGAGGTTGACGAGGATTCCGACGACTGTGCTGGATACTGGAAATGCATTGATCGAGAGTTCGTCAGCCTCAAATGCGACGGAGGCAGCTACTTCGACCTCAGTTCCAAAAAATGCATCCGCAACGAAAGTGAGCTTCTCTGTCCAATACAATTTAGCAAGTAAATACACTTACAGCTGATATCTGTAACAACCAATTCACGAATGCTTACCTCTAGCTATTTATCGATTTCGAAACCAGTTTTACTATTGGCTTGACAGAATGAGGGGCGTTACGAAAAGTTTTCCACTCACCAGCGAATACCTAATGAGCCATTCGTTGTATTGCATGTACTATATGCATTATTCAGCATATTCATGCCGTTGAGTGGGACGATTGTTAAGGGAGTAATACGTTTCCTTATTTTGAAAAGTGGAGCTCTTTCTACTCAAGCAGATAAAGTGTTGTAATTTCTTTGCAAATTCAGCTTGCAGTTGCTGGTAAAGAAATTATAATAGGTCCTGGTATTGGTGAACCCAATTAATCATGCGCCTTGATCCAAGCCAGAGACTTCCTTGTTTTCACAAAGTGAACTCGATTCGGGACCAACAACAGTGACACATCAAAGGGCTTAGCACGTCAGCGCACAAGTTTTAATTAAATGTAACACAATATAGAGGTTCAGTTCGCACCGTTTGTCCCGAAAATAAAGCGGTTGACGCGGCAACGCAATAAAGGCTCAGTAGACGCCGGTATGAGGATGCAAACGGAGTTTTTTGGCGAAGGGGGCGTGAGAAATGACTTCCGATTTGCGAATATCAAAAGCTCAAAACTGTTATTAAAGTAGCGTACAATGTGCAATCAAAAGGGCTATTTTAAATCAAAGTCGAAGTTTTGGAAAGGAACCGATTTTGAGAGGACAAATTTACTTGCAGGAGCTTATACATGTGTAGCAGCTTGTGGTGTGGAAATTTGTAATTTATTCAATATTTACGGTATTGAAGTGGTGTCGTCTTCCTCTGTAATTGAGGCTTCAGTAGTTGTGGCATTTTCCTCATCCTCATCCTCACCACTGCCATTTGAGTTTTTACCTATGCCATATGGAGAAGCTTCATTCACTGGCACATAAAATTCGCCAGAGGCCACAAATGAGTTCACCTTCGAGCCCATGCGCACGGAACTGTAGGTGCTGCCACAATCGTTATTGTTGGCCTCCTGGTAGGAGTTGCACTTCATTGTCGGAAAGTTGTCAGACTCCAGAGACTCCACATAGTATAAGACGGCTCGGGTGTGCGAGCATCCGCCGGTCAGGTCGGCAATACAGCCAGGCTGCGTTCTCCCGCCATTTGGGTAGAAAGCCGCCTTGCCAATGGGCTGCGTGAATCCCAAGGTGCCACCGTTGGTCTGAATGCTCTCGACGTAGAAGGCATCAGTGCTGCAGAGCCGTTTCTCCGTTTTGTTGTAGTTAATCAGTGGCATGGCAGGGTCTAGGCCAACAACCTTCTGCACTTGGCCAGTGGCCACATTCTTGGCCGTGAATCCGGCTACGTGAGCACCCAAACTGAAGCCTACTACCTCCAATGACTCTAGGGACATGTCGTAGTGCTGCACGAGAAAGTCTATGAGCTCCGAAATTTTTTTGCCAGCCGCAGGCGCACCCGACACTGATGAGGCGTAGTCAAGCGAACGACCCCGTGCCCAATCCACAGCTATCATGTTGTAGTCGCCGTAGCCGAACCAAGCTCGTCGTATGCCCACATTCACGCCATCTTTGTAATTGGAATTCCAGCCGTGTATTGTAAATCTGCAGAAATCGTTATTTTACTTTGGTGCGATGGTCGTTTTATTTTTGGTTCTTTCCACCTACCTGGTAGGGTTTTCGGCTCTAAAATTCGAGGCATTAATCGAGGCCTCATTAGCAGTGATAAGCTGTCCGTCGTCGGGATTCCTCTGTGTGTATAAATAGAACGTCACCGCATTAAGCGATATACGATTGCTCTTTTGTCCCTCTTCTATAGTTTCGTAGCGAGCCAGTGCCTCATTGGCCTCATCCAAGTCCAGCCACTGGAAGTTACCGTCAACTTGAGGCACAAACCAACCATTTTCTCCATTCACACGTCGGTCAACCCTATCCTTGTGATGTAATGCGCTTGCATCTAAAATTAGTTCGGCTATCGCTATGATATACTATTCTGCTGGTTAGTCCAAATACTCACTGGTTAGCGCACAAATTGCTAAAATAATGCCCCACTTCATAGTATTCCTTTAATGCAGCAAGTGCTTCACTGCCACCAATTACTGGTGCTTTTATAGGTCTCGGTAGCCGAGTTTATTACTTTTGTGTGAATTTTTTGCGATCATCAAAAGCGACCCTAAATCAAATCCAGAAAGCTTCGATTATTAAGATTAGTTTATTTGCTAGTATATACATATACATACAAGTATGACTGTTAAAAATGGAAAGTCATTCAGTAAAAGCGCAGAAAGCCCTCAAAGAACTGAAAGCTCAGCACCCACGTCAGGAAAGTACACTTGTAAAAATTCTTATTTTCAATCACAATTTATTTCGAAATGTCTCTTAAGCTCCCATGCCGTAAGGAGCTGCGCTTTTGACGGGCACGTAGTAATCACCAGCAACCATATAGGCATTGGTCATGGCACCCATGCGTACGCTGCTGTAGGAGCTACCACAGCTCTTGGCAACGGCGTCCTCGTAGTCACTGCACTTCACGGTAGGGTAGGTGTTGGTTGAGACAGCCTCGGCGTAGTAGATGACGGAGCGGCTGTGAGCGCAAGAGCCAGTGACATCGACACCGCAGCCAGGCTGGCTTTTCCCGCCATTGGGGTAGAAGGCGCCCTTGCCGATGGGCTTCAGGAAACCAAGAGTACCACCGTTGGTCTGGATGGACTCGACATAAACGGCATCAGTGATGGAAAGGCGGCTGTTGGGTTTGTCGTAGCTGTACAGAGGCAGAGCGGGGTCCAGACCAATGATGGTCTGCAGCTGGCCATTCTTAACGTTCTTGCCAGTGAAGCCAGCAACATGAGCACCCAGGCTGTGACCAATGACCATGGTATTATCGAGAGACAGACCGTGGTTTGTACGGAGGAAGTTGATCAGGGCGGCGACTTTCTCACCAACGCCAGGTACGGCCAAGACGGAAGAGGCGTAGTCCACAGAGCGAGCACGTCCCCAATCAACGGTGATCATGTTCATGTCACCTTGAGTGAACCAGGCATTGCGGACACCATAGTTGACATAATCCTCAGCGCTGGAGGTCCATCCGTGGATGGTGAAGCGTGTTGGGTTTTTGGGGTTGAAGTGGGATGCTGAGATGGAAGCCGAGGAGGCGGTGATCTCCTGGGGGGAATTCAAGTTGGACTTGGTGTACAAGAGGAAAGTGACGGGATTAAGCGACACACGGCCCTCGATTTCAGAGCGTGCATTGAGGTTGGCTTCGGCAACATCCTTGTCCACCCACACAAAGGTTCCATCGGCCTGGGGTACGTACCAGCCGTTCTCACCATTTTCGCGGATTTCAGTGGCGGTAGCTGTGAATAAGATTCAAATAAGTACCAGGAAAGGGAGTAGCTACAGGAAACTTACCCGCCAGAACGCAGAAAGCCAAAGTCAAGAACAGTTTCATGTTGAAATCAAATCTAACTGACATGTCCAATTGTCAAATTTGGCCATTTATATATGATTTTGCAATGGAGAAAGCACTTGCTGTGTAGCTCTCGAGATATCGCCAATTGATTGGTAATCACCCCATTCTGATTTATGATAAGGACTGTGACGCCTAGGATTGCGGGCCCACACACTCTTCAGTACTAGTGACAACATGTGTTGACTAATTTCAAATCGGCCGTCCATCCTGATTTACATCTATCAGCAATACATACTATATAGGCGAGTAGTTATTCATATCTTCTTGGCCACTTCTCATCTGACGTGTGCTTGATAAGCTGGTACGCTGGTACTTACGTTCAGTGGAGTGTTGGGCATTGTACCTAAAGAGATAAGCCTCTGCTACGATAGTTTAGAATCGAAGGCACACATTCCACCCACGAGCCCTCTCCAATAAAGTGCCAAAAATAAAAATGTGCGACACGTGCAATAAGCACGTATGTTTATCAAGGACAACGAACTCAGAAAACACAGATCTTGATAGAAATTTTGCAATCTTGGTTAAATATCGTAGCGGGAAATCCAAGGAATAACAAAATAATGAGAAATGACAATCGTATAATGAAAAAACTTAGTAAACAATATTTAAATATCTATAAATAATGCCTTATATTTGCAATACTCTGAAAAGGGTAAAGAGGAGAATCAGGTTTGTGCAAATATATGTCAAAGGCAGCAGAAAGCAATTCCGACTCGAAAAAGTAAATATAATTAAATACACGTGAATGACAATGTACGTGTATAGTATGTATGTATCAGTGCTCTTTAAGCATAGGGTATTTCACTGTCAGGTGTGTTCGACTCAACATTGTTTTCTTCTTTATCATGATTGTGTGAACAATTATTTTTAAATGAAGCGCAAACCTATTTTCATATCTTAATAACCTGCTTTATTTTTCACTTTTTCACTTATTCACTTTAATCGATAGTGAAAACTATTTTATTTACCTATTGCGGAAAGACCTTGGCTTTCCAATACATAACATAGTATATATAAGTCAATACAATTTGTATACAAGCATTTCATGCGAAATCAAAATGTTTTTATTTATTCATCATTATTCCATTAGCATTTTTTTGTTGCGATTTCGGCCCAAGTTCAGTCCAGGCTTCAAAGGAACTCACCCCATATGGGGAGAATTCATTCACCGGCACCCAGTATACACCCTTCGCCACATTGGCATTGGCGGGGTCTCCCATGCGGACATTGCTCATCTCATGATTGCAGTTGTTTTGTCTTGCAAAGTGGTAGCTCTCACAATGGTAAGAACCGAAGTTGTTCCATATCAGAGCCTCTACATAATAGGTAATCGATAGCGCATGTGCACACCCAAAAAGGCAGTGTGGCTGATTCTGCCCGCCATTGGGATAGAAATCAGCACTGCCTATGGGCTCCAATAAGCCCGTCACTCCTGCGTTAGTGTGGATGCACTCGACATAGAAGGCATCGCTGCTAGTTAGACGATCCTGTGGCTTGTCCAGATAGTACAGAAACAACGCTGGGTCTAGCCCAATAATGGTATGTACCTTGCCCGGACCTACAGTTCTGCCAGCATGACCAGCTATATGAGCGCCCAGGCTAAAGCCTATTATGTGAAGAGTGTTTAAGGACATGCCGTGTGTTTCATGAAGATACTTGATCATAGCTCCGACCTTGGCTCCAGTGTGAGGCACTGCTTTAAACGCGCCACCATACCATAATTTTGCATCTCCCCAGTTCACAGCAATAACGTTGTAGTCGCTCTTCGATAACAGAGCATTTGTTAATTTGAAGTTACCATCATTTTTGTAGGTTTCCGTCCAGCCGTGAATAAGAATGCGGGTCCCATGATCCTTGTTAAATTTTGAATTACGAATTGAATTTTCGGTCGCTTTTATTGCAACAGCGTTACTAGAATTTTCATTTGTAAAGAGGTAGAAGCTTACTGAACCTGAGTGACGCAGGGGCTTACACCCTTCAGACATTTACAAGTATACCGACAATACCACTGTTAGACATTAAAATTTCGTCAGTTATTAGCTTAATACTTTACCGGGTATATGAAGGCCTGTTATCAGAACAGCTGAAATGACGATGATATGCATTTTGCAGGCAATGTCTTTATAGTACAGCGGTCAAGAACAATACATAAACTAATGAATGGCCCACTTATATTGTACAGCTGTGACCAAAAACCTGAAAATTAAAGATTAGGCACGTCTATTAAGAAAACAAACAATTGAAATGTACAAGTCACACAACGTGATCAAAGCTTTTCATCTATTCATCAAAACTATTTAAAAATCTACGGCTGGCATTATTTAAGCACAGAAATATTCAACATGCTGAGACGAGTCTTTATAGCGACGGATAGCGATGTGATTTATAAAGAGTTTTTGAATAAACAAAATATTGTTTTTAATTATATTGCAACTCAATTGAAAAATATTAGCTATTAAAATATATGTGATGTGTTTTGTTATTATTATGTTTAAACATCTCACCGACTAAAATAAATGTGTTTTTGCTGACGTAGAAAAATACTTGAAATACATCGCGATATACAAGTCGTAAGTGCTGATCGCGATTAGCGAGCTCAAGCCCCCCCCCCAAGTATATATTTTTGATAACAAGATCCAAATATAAACATGATAGTGCTGAGTTTAATTTTCGCTCTTTATTTCCACAATTACTCGATTTTGCCGAAAGGCGCCTTGCTATTCACTGGCACGTAGAAGTCACCGGCAACCATGTAGGCATTGGTGTCAGCTCCCATACGGACGCTACTGTAGGTGCTACCGCATTTCTTGGCGACGGCATCCTCGTAGTCCTCGCACTTAATTGTGCCGAAATTATCCTGTTTTACGGCCTCGACATAGTAGGTAACGGAACGGCCATGGGAACAGGAGCCTGTGAGGTCGACTCCACAACCGGGCTGCTTTTTTCCGCCGTTGGGGTAGAAGGCACCCTTGCCGATGGGTTTCAGGAATCCGAGTTTGCCTCCATTGGTTTGAATGGACTCCACATAGTAGGCATCGGTGGAAGAAAGACGCTTTTCCGGCTTGCTGTAGCTGAATAGCGGCAGCGCAGGATCCAAACCAACAATAGTATGAATCTGGCCTTCGCCTACAGTCTTACCAGCGTATCCGGACACTTGAGCGCCCAAGCTGTGGCCAATGACGTTGAGAGTGGACAAGGACATGCCATGGCTGTCGTGCAGATACTTAATCATAGCTCCAACTTTAGCCCCAGCACCAGGTACTGCAACAACAGACGAGGCATAGTCCTTGGACCGTGCCCGAGCCCAATCCACGACAATGATATTGAAGTCACCCTTCGACAGCCAAGCACTTGTGATTTCAGTGTTCATTGAGTCGGTATAGCTTTGAGTCCACCCATGAATGACAAAACGAGTGGGATGGTCCTTGTTGAAATGAGAGTCTTCGATCGACTTACTGGTAGACGTGATTTCCTGCCCCTTTGTCGGGTTCGATTTGGTGTACAAATAGAAATTGACGGCATTGGTGCTAATGCGACCTTCCATTTGCCTTCCCTGTGCCAGCATCTGATCGCCCTCCTGCAGGTCCACCCATTTGAAGCTTCCATCGGCTTGTGGAATGTACCAGCCGTTTTCGCCATTTACGCGGTCCTCAATGGGCAGAGCAGCCCCTTAATTAAATTAATTATTTAGAAGAACTATTGGCGTTTCAGCTTTTTTAGGGATCTTACCTGCAGCCAGAAGTGCCGATAGAACTAAAAGTACTTTCATTTTTGCCGTAATAGTGAATATACATACCTATTAGGGGTCCCACTCTTTTTATACCCCCAATGGTGGCCTCTTGAAAGTGTCAGATTGAGCTAAAAACACTTGAAAAATTTCGTGCACTTGTTTCTTGGCAGATAACCCGATATTGCTGATTAGACAAACCATTATTTGCGCTTCCGTTCGAGGGATTACTGTTCATTCTTAAGCAATAGAGGCAGAATTGACAGTAAGTTTTATGATTTATTTACCGCCCGTGAAATACCTTGAAACAAAGGGGGCCATAATAGATGCCATAAAAGGCCAGACTAACGAGGTGATTAGCTTTGTGTAATTTATTAATAGGTCTGCGGCTGAATGGGCGATGTTGGGGTTCGTCATTCGAGCGTATGACAGGGGCTATAAATTACGGAAAATATTGATAGCCAAGTATTTCTTATCAAACATGACCTCTCCAAGTGTTACAAATGCAAGAAGTTATTTGAGTGTGTAAGTGTCATCTTTATTGTGGTATATTTAGTTGATCATACCGTAAGGTGATTTGCTGTTAACAGGTACATAGAAGTCGCCCTCAACCATGTAGGCATTGGTGTCAGCACCCATGCGGACGCCACTGTAGGTGCTGCCGCAGCTCTTCTTGACAGCATCCTCGTAGTCGCTGCACTTGATGGTGCCGAAGTTGTCCGCAGAGACGGCCTCGGCGTAGTAAGTTACAGAGCGGCCATGGGAGCAGGCACCCGTGAGATCGAGTGTGCATCCGGGCTGGGTCTGGCCACCGTTAGGATAGAAAGCACCTTTGCCGATTGGCTTAAGGAAGCCCAGGGTGCCGCCATTGGTTTGGATGGACTCAACGTACCAGGCATCAGTGGAGCTCAGGCGTTTGTTTGGCTTATTGTAGTTGAAGAGAGGAAGAGCAGGATCCAGACCGATAATGGTGTGCACCTGACCGTTCACATTCTTGCCCGCGTAGCCAGAGACATGTGCACCCAAGCTGTGGCCAATAATGTACAAGTCATCCAAAGACATACCGTAGCTCGATACCAAGAAGTTGACCATGCTAGCCACCTTCTTGCCGACCTTTGGTACAGCTATCACAGAGGAGGCGTATTCAACGGAACGGGCACGAGCCCAATCCACGACAATGATGTTGTAGTCGCCGTTGCTCAGCCAAGCATCACGAATATTCTTGTTCATGCCCGAAGTGTAGCTCTGGGTCCAGCCGTGAATCACAAATCTAGGTATTCAGAGCCATTAGTGCGGCTCGAATGGAGCAGTTTGTGCCCTTACCTGGTAGGATGTGCCGGATTGAAGTTGGACGCATCAATGGACTTCGTGGTTGCGGTGATCTTCTTGCCTTTGGATGGGTTCGACTTGGTGTAAAGATAGTATTTGACAGGGGTAGTGGAAAGACCACGAGCTTCCATCATCTCCTGCTGCTCCAGCATTGCCTCGCCCTCATCCATATCAATCCATTCAAAGCTGCCATCCAGTTTTGGGACATACCAGCCGTTCTCACCATTGACACGTTCGTCTTCCTCCAAGCCGTAGGCGGTAGCTGTTGTGGGCGTCACAGTACGCTTTAGGAAGGCTCTCGATATGCATTTGAGGATTCATATTTACCCGCTAGCGCAAACAGAGCCAAAACGCAAATAGTCTTCATGTTGTAAACACTTTAACTGCTTGCATCTTCGGACTAGCGGCTACTTTTATAGGCAGCTCCAAAAAGTCTTATCGCTAGCGTGGCGATCTAATCTAAATCCTCTCATGCCATTTCTGCTCCAAATTAATTAGGGCCCCCGGGGAGGCGCGCCCTACCGCACTTAGTCCGTGGACTTGCATTTTACTCTGATAACAGTCGCAAAATGCTAATGAAAACTTTTTATAGCAATAGATAGCTTATTTATCATTTAATTGACTTTTAAACTGCGCTATACTATTGTACTCGTCTATGTGTGACAATCTTCGGCGGGGGGCAATCATGGGTTCTAATGATTGGTATTTTTTAATAGCTGCTCGAACTTTAAAAAATATATTCCTTATCGATGCAAATTATTTCACGCCCAAGTGCCTCTGCATGGTCAGTAGTGTCGGAACTATTTCTTTTAAAGATTGTATAACTTTTGCGAGTTGTATACAAATTGCAATCGAACGTGGGCGAGGCGAGGAACACTCTTATCTGGCTTACATGTGCTTTGGTTGTAATCGTATTAGAAATCAAGAACAGTATGCTTGTTTTCATTCAGATAGATGTGTAACTCTCGATAGGCCCCATTGTCTGCCCACTTTAAGCACAGAAATTAAACTTGGTCAGGTGAGAGTCACTTCAAACACAACAATTGAGTGCTGAAATGTAAATACACTCCAGGTATATTTATATATATGTATATTATATATATATATATGTATATTATTGATCTGTACGATAAGACGTGTTGATATATCCAAGCCCGCCGGTCGATTTCCTCGTCTGCATGAGCTTATTAAAACATTATTTACAAAAAATTCAAAAATTTCTTTTTTCTGTTTGTGGTAGTGGATAGAGGGTATTGAAGAGTTCAGTTTCTTTTTTATTTTGTACTCATTACGTAGTACGTAATGATTAAATGGAGCGGCTTAAAGAAGTTTCGATGTACCTATATTTCTACAATGACACATGGGGCGTATAAGTAATATTACTTGAAACTTTATATTTTGTTGCCGGCCTGAAAATTAACATAATACGAGAATTGGTTAACCTAGCGCTCAAGTATACTAGTATAATAATGTTCCAGTCGGCAGTCAATCGCTATTTCGCAAGTGCTAGGTGCTACAGTAAACAGTGCCTCCCTCCTCACACGCCAAGGTTGATGTTTGCTGTGAAACAGCAGTATATAGTGTGTTCATCGTTGTTAGGTTGGTTTTCCAACAAAATCATTTGGCTACAATACAGTGGCGGACAGCCTCTCCGCCCTCGCATTTGATTGCTAATGAAATTTTCATGCACTGTTGCCGTTTTCGGCCGATTATCCTGCTTGTGCTAATTGAGCGGATCTCAGGTGTACGCGAATTGAATGTTCATTCGTCTCGCTTCTGCTGGCACATCTTTTCGATTTGCTCCCACAAGAACAAGGCATACTTTTAGGCAGCCATTGCTATAAGTTAGGCATTGAACTTCCATGCCTAGTTTTGTACAATAAGTAAGTAGTAGATTATAGTCTAGTGCACAATGGCACAATACATAGATAGGGAACTAGTTTCAGAAATGAATTGATAAGCCTGATAAAGCACTTTTTTAAAAATGGCAATTTGCTTCTCAGAGTGGCGATAATGAATATTTTTGCAAATTCTTTGGTTTTATGCAATTAATTAGTGTGTCGAAACATAGGTGTATGCAACGGATTCCGCTTGAGCGTGTACCATTTATTCACCATTCAACAAATTGGTTCGCTTTCGCAAAAATAATTCAATTAAACGTTCAAATATGGACCTGCCACCACTCATAACCACAGCAGCTGCCCACATTTCACATTCTCAATTTAACCCACGCCATACACACTCTTACATACACACACACACACACACACACAAGTCTCATTTATAAAGTAAAAATACTTTTTATGACCTGGGAAAAGGGACAGCAATTTCCACGAAATTTAAATTAATTGCATTTGCCAGAGTATCACATTTCAACGGCACGTGCCTGCCCGACAGCGTGTTAATTGTTTCGGAGTGCAGCTTCTCGTTCGAATAAGCGAATTAATCGGCGCTTATTCATATGTCGCTTACCCCTCTACCGTATCGCAGACACACACAGGAAGAAACACATAAGCACAAGAATGCAAATTTGCTTAATTAATTTAATAGTGGATTATGTCATCAACATTTTATGTGTAGCATGATGTAGGAGGGGGACGGTAGAGGACGGGCCCTATTGCCGGCTCATAAAGGCAACTGGCAGGCAATTTAAATCACATTTGGCCAGGCTGCTTTTAAACGCCTCACAAATCACAGGAGGGCCATGACCAGCCCCACACACAGAAGTTGGGGCCTGGGTCTGGACGGGTTAGGCCCAAGGCATGCAAGCACGAGCGCGTGCTTGAGGATTGTGATTGGACCGGAGCGTAATAAAATTCAATTTTACGTTTTTAAATGGCGCGCCTGAAACAATAAATTCTTGGTGCCTATAAATAAGCATTTGCAGTAAATAAATACGTTGCGTTTATTATCCCCTAAACCGCTTTGTTTTGGTTTGTTGCGATACGAAAGCTTACGTATAAAGAGGTCAAGAGTCAAAAGCAATTCATTTTTTTGTGATATAGTACTATATTATTGAATTTAAGGAATTTAAATGGAATAAATATAATTAATACTTTGTCCTTCTCATTACCCAAAAAGGGGATTATTTTAATTGCCGTATTCTTAACTACTTTTAATCAGCTTACAAACACGGGCTCATTTTCTCAAACCAATCATATTTTAAATCACGCCAGAAATTCTCCAAAAATGTTCTACAAGGATGATGAATATATTTGAGAAATGTTGACGCAAGGTCTGAGAAAAGTAACTGGGAGTAAATAAACGAATATGTGCGTTTGCATACTTGGCATATTCATAACTTAACGTTGGCTAATTAGTCCATAAAGACACAAAGCCTGCTGAGGCGGCAAAGTCTTCGCCATCGCCATTGCCGCTTGTTGATGCTCATTAAATAGCTGCTAGAGTTAAGCACTCGGGAACACATATCACTCTCCCGACCCAACCTACTGAAGGCAACAATGATGTTAGGCTTCATGGCACCCAAAGCCAATGCAGCCCGACGAAGCTCATTAATTATAATTATAAACGGGTGGCACGAAGTGATGCCGGCTACGAAAACGAGGAATACAAAACATTGCGGTTGGCAACTGCCTCATGACGTAGTCAACGCGCCCTCAAATGTAGAAAAGATAAACACGCGTCACAATATATGCTTGAGTTTTGGTTGAGTAAACACGAATATCTTCTGCTCCTGCACAGCGTGCCTTTCCCTCATACGGACTTTTCTATCTTTGTGGGAGCAACTCAAAGCTATTTGCGCCACAGGGGCTCAGTAACAGTCTTACATCAATGGTACTCTCCTGACATAACACAACAAGGCAGACAGAAGTGAGTAAAGTTTGAGAAAACTTTATGCTTTCGGAAATCATTTACAATGTTGAAAACTATATTCTACACATTTCTGATAAAAAAAAAAAAAAAAAATTAAAAATTAAGATGCGAATTGGACTCAATATTATTTGAAATTGTCGTCGTACAATTACCGACCGTAATTTCAGACTCAACCCAATCTTTCTTGGTGCTGTTTATTAATTTGGGCAACTTCTATGTACTATGAATGCCGATCAAAAGACGCAAGAGGTATATCGAGCTAATTAGTGATATTAAGATATACAGTAAGTCCGCCTTATTGTAGAGAGCACTTAATGTGTATGCTCGTCTAAAATTTCTTTTCGAAACCACTTTCTGCATTTCTGCATCGTATACTGGGTAGACCCTATCCTACCCTACCATCAACCAACCTGAATGCAGTGTTCGCCAAGGAGTCAGTTACATGCATTCGAGTTTGTGTTGTTATAACAAATATAGTTGATCGAATAGTAGTGTGCGCGTGTTTGTTTGTGATTGTCTGCCACACGCTGCACGTTCGCATCGTAGGAAGGACAAACCGCTTCGTTTGAATTGTTGTTTGCGGTTTTTGCTCTCGGCACGGGTATTATGCCGCAAAATTGTTTGCCGCTGTTCATTTTTTCTTGCATTTACCAGCCATAAATGAAAAGCGTCCGAGGAAAAAGTCACCACGCTTCTCCTTCATACTCTTCTTTCGTTGTACTTGGCGGATTGCGCACGGTCCCTTTAAAATTAGATTTTTAAGCGCTAAGGCGTTGGTTAAGGTGTTCAGGCCCATTCTTGGTCTATTTTTTGTGCCGTGCTTTTTTTGGTTCAGCCTAAAAGCACGCTAAGTAAATTTGCTTGCGACTAAGCCGGAAAATGTGATTTGCCGCTGCCGTGACTGCTGCTTCTGGCCATCCTCTGAGCCAGAGCTAGAGCCATTACGGGGTATGTAAATATATTGCTTACCTCAAAGATATTTGCCTACCCATTACTAACATTTGCTAGAATGGGCTGCCCCTATCCAAGTAGGCCTTGATTTCATTTTCGTGCGTGATTTTTGCATTTTTATTGCCGCATTTCTTCTCCTTTTCGAGCTATTCTGTTATTATTTCCATGTTTTATGTCAAAAAGTGATTTCATTTGCCACCTTCATTGTATTGTACGGGTTTATTCGTGCTTGGCGATTAGGTGTGGGATGCGGAAGCTTGAGGCCTCGGGAAGTTATTTATCGATCCTATTTTTCCAATTGCCAGATGAGAAAGGAAGTTGCTTGGCAGATGGCAAGAAATATTCGCGTTAATTATTTTGTTTGGCATGCAGTGCGCATTTTTCATGTGTTGTAAATATAAAATTGATGAGGTTTTCATTAATAAATTGACTGGGCCAAAAACCAATGCCTCAGCTTTGCATTATTACTAAATATTTCCAAGCACGTACCGAGCAAATAGGCCACAAGAATACGTCACAGGGACTGCCGCTTGCCCCGGCCTTCCACTGTGTGTTTAATTTCCAAATTCTTTGTATTTTTCTATTAACAAAGTTGTTGGTGCTCGCGGGGCAAGCTGCAAGACCCGGCCGCCTTCTGATTTACCTCTAAAATGAATTTTTGCAAAGTTTTTTAATGGCGAAAGTAAATTTCAGCCCTAGCGCGTTGCTTAAATTTTATTTTCGGCGCGTGGGTACTGGAATCTGGCGAAATAATTGATAAAGCATCCCCGTCCCGAAAATGACGAAAAACGAGTCGCACACACGCATACACACTCAAACATGCTTTTTTGTTGACTTAGCTGAGCCTCGGCAAGTGTCTCATTATTGCGCTGAGATAAGCAATTTACTCGCTCGATATCCTTATCCTGTTTTTTTTTAACAACAACGTGCACACATGAGTAATGGAAGCCTGAACGCCAGCCTAGCGACCATTGTGAGAGCTTCTGTGCCAGACGATGTCAGAGTTTATTAAATGACAGACATCAAGGACGTTAAAACGATGCGAAATGAAACGCATCGAAAGCCAAAATGAGAAATTGTGAAATCGGGAGGCCAAAGTTTAAATGACTTCGTTCACATTTCGCGCATCAGTCATTAAGAGACAGAAAGTCATTTTGCATTGACATTTTCGATTTGCTGCTGTAATTGTTCCTTTCCGCTTTTTCCTCTTCTGGTGTCAAAGACCTTCTCTGGATTATAACCAGTTCATATAGCGTCTCAGACTCCTATACCTTTAAGTATCGTTGCTTTGTTTGCCAACTCAATTTTCAAACGATTTGAACCCCAACGGAGAGCTCAGAGAACTGCTTGTTCATGTCTATCTATTGCATGACCAAGTAGACAAAATATTAGGTTTAAAAGGTTCACACACGCATATTCTTATATCAATTGCTTGTCCATTTAATTTTTGTGGCATTTTTGCTTTTTTCATCTCCTCTTGGAATGTCTGGGTCGGCAACCTACGAGCACAAGCTTGTGTGGATGGCCACATAGCATCTATGTCCATTAATCACGGGACACGACAACACTTTGGAATCTCACTTTGTGCGTGATATACGAGAATGTATGTACGTAGGTTCGAGTATATAAGTGAACAGCATTGATTTCTGTTGGTTTTATATGCCCACAAGTCACTCTATATATCATATTGTACTCGTAACTTGCCTGCGATGGCCATTTATGGCTTATATGTACTTGTAAATAGTACAAAATCGATTGTTGGTTGTTGCTTGTTGGTTAAAGAATTTAGCTTTAAGGCATGTACAGAAGTCTCTATTATTCACAAAACCTGAATTTGCAGAATTAAATATATTATTTATCAATTAAATAAATAGTGTACTTTGGTGTAATCGTTACCTTTTATTTATTATTTATGTACTAAGAATATAAAACTACATTTGAGAAAAATATTTTCTTTCAACGACAATATACTTAATATAAACTGATTGTGTACAGTTCTGATACTAGTTTATTTTTAAAGTTGGTTATCTTTAAATACCTCGGCATGCTTCCGCTGTTTTCCGTAAACAAATAATTTATGTTTCAAATCCATCGAATAAATTATATGTAAAATTAAAAATATCCCTATCAGCACATAAATATTAGTAGCTCCACTTAAGGAAACGAATTGAACTATATGTCATTTTTATTATGTTATTCCAAAAATTTCTATGCAGCTGCACGTTAAGCTATTTATTTTTCATGCGGCAAGAACTCATGAGAAACATTAAACAACATGTACGCGCAATATTATATTCCTTAAAAGTCTGAAACAATGCCCATTAAGGTAAGCAACTCTGTAGGGATCTGTTCTCAAGTTACCGCTGCTTTTTCGCACTTCTGTCGCAGCTAGAATCGGGGAGAAGGTATGCAATTTTGTGCGCAAAGTACGACCCATTAGTCAACACAATCTGGCAAGTGGTTTATCAGACGCCAAACCTCATGCTTTCTCCATGGAATGTTGGAGCGTTGTGTATACATTTTAGCAATTTAGCTTGAGCTCTTTATTTTTTTGGACGGGCAATCGGCAAGTGTTACGAGTTGATTGATCTGTCTGCGTTACTGTTCCCATTAGGAGGAATACCTTCGCTTAATATGCCGATATATGCAACATCTTCGAAGAGTGAGTCGATTGCGACTACTGTCTCTTATATAGGTACTGCCTAAGAGTATGCTTTGCCCTTCTGCGGGGCTTCGATTGAGAAGCTTTGCTGCTCAAGTAGTTACTAGCATAAGTACACAATTTCTTGCCACTTGGAACTTGATAACTTTGCAACTAGGCAATCAAAATAGTTTGACGTTTTAACTAATTGCACATCTTTTTGCTTACAGGAGTCGGCTTCTTGTCCAGCGCTGGCAAAGAGGATTTAGTTGTGGACAATTAATTAAAACCGCAAATTCATTACACAACCGCAGGGCGTACGGAGCACGAAGGCGCCCGAACAACCACTTGCCCACCCACCAACAACACAACTGCAAAACCACACACCCACACGAAGTGGTGGCAAATCTATTCGACAACGAAGCCAATTCCTGCTCAGCGTCCTCCCTTTACGTGCCCACGAAATAGATAACTAAATCGACTTTATGTGGATGCTTGGCACAAACTGAGGAGATTTTGTTTTGTGTTTTGGCAAGGATTTCATTTTGCTCAAATGCAATTATGCTGCCAAGCACAACAAAGCCAGAGTCGGAGCAGAAGACACTTATGCACGCAACAACAGAGGAACTTAACCGAAAACTTTGTAGCACAGTTAAGACACTGAAATCCACTTAAGAATTTGTGGCCCGCTTCGACAGTGAATTGGGCGAGTGATACAGACGGAGTGGTATCTATTAAGCAAGAGCTAAATCGCAATGATGCTTGGCAGTCTGATGTTGCACAGTCGGCGCACGGGCCTGGAAAGTAGAGTATTGCTAAGCGATGACAGTCTCTACTACATAGCCCCGCAGCAGCCACTGCTCCAAGGCACCGACGACTATCAAGAGGCAGCATCTATCGCTGCCTCTCTCCTCTACAACGAATCCTCTACAGAGCTGGCAACTACCGATGGTGATGCAACGGCTGCAGCGTCCTACGTCTATTCAACCACACCCGCCACCGAGCGCCTCAATGTGACGCTGCTGAACATTACTTGCGAGGAAGTGGAGTCCGATGATCTCTGGTCCAGTGTATACTTCAAGAGCGCTGTATACCTGCTGTACATTCCCATCTTCATATTTGCGCTTCTGGGCAACGGCATTGTCTGCTACATCGTGCAGTCGACGCCACGCATGCGCACAGTGACGAACTACTTTATAGCCAATCTGGCGTTGGGGGACATTCTGATGTCCCTCTTTTGCGTGCCCTCCTCCTTCATATCGATCTACATTCTCAACTACTGGCCCTTTGGCATTGTCCTGTGCCATCTGGTAAACTACTCGCAAGCAGTCTCGGTCCTGGTCAGTGCCTACACACTGGTGGCCATCAGCATCGACCGATACATAGCCATCATGTGGCCATTGCGACCACGCATAACGAAGCGGTAAGGTAGTAGTATTATTTGTTATTTCACAGTCTGCAAAGCCTTTTCACAATTTTTCAACTGTATTTACCACGTAACTTAAATACCTTAAAATGTTTAGAAAAGTAGCACAAATGACGTTAGACCATCAGTGTGTGAAAATCTCATTAGTAGCACTTAAGGACAACGGCGACAATTGCTGGGCAGCTGGTGGTTTTAACTTTGTTACTACCCTTCTGTTTTCTTTCGTTATTCCTTTTTTACTTGCCGCCAACGAAATAATGAACCTTCGTTGATTTTAACCAAAATGTATATTCCTTCTCCATTTTTTGCTCTTCATTCTAGTATGCTTTCGCTTAAAGCGTTTTTAATAATTTAATCATTTTAGTTGGCTTAAGTATAACACATAGTAGCTGAGCTCTTCTTGTAAATCAAAAGTCTTACGCATATTCCTTTCGGCTGCACCAGGCAGAAATTAAAAAAAAGAAGTGGAGAAGCTGAAGTCGGCTGCCTGGACTTTAAAGTACTCTTATTTGTACAATAATAAAATTGATAAAAAAAATTACCATTGTAATTTTTTTTTGTAATAAGAAAATTGACTAGAAGGGCGTGGATTTTTAAAACACTTGTACTTACTATATAAGGCAACATTTTCTGTCTCTAGCTCTTAAAGTCTTTGAGATATACATAAGTACATAGGTGTAGTTATGGAAAATCTGAAAAATAAAATATAAGTAAAATATATATATAATAATCCAATTACAAAGGAGCCAAATAATCTGTTTATAGAGTAAATTGAGTATGATGCTAAGTAAGTAGATTGACATACTCGTACTACCTTTAAATATATTTAAAATTTTAATTTTTAGATATGTTCGTATATGTTGTTTTTTTTAAGAGTGCTTGTCGGTGTGGGGCAAGGAATTTTTTATTGCCATTTTCGCTCTTTTTGGGCATAATATATAACATTCTGGTGGGTCACAAAAACGGTAGCTTAACGGATTCTGGTAATAGACTAACGAAGTCCGATCTCTTCTGAGTGGCAAGAGTTGGAGCTCAGGTCAAATCCGCTTTAAGTGTTTTAGGTGATTTTCGACATGCGTTTTGCAAAATACGTTGGGCTTTCAATTAGCGTTGGAATTAATTGCCGTCACATAAAACCAAGAGACGAGAATGCCAGCCACGGCATTTGTTGAGGCCACCCCACGCACTTGAAGCTCAGCTATTTGTTGAGTGGCCGCTTGTGTATTTGCATTAGCATTGTGTGCGTGCCAATGTGAACATTTGGCTGCTTCCGTGTCCATGTGATCTAAATGGCATACTCCTCGAATTTTTTAGGTGTCGCCATGAAATGAAAGCGAAAACTGGCGCCGACTTTTCCGCTGCAGCGAGCAATGCTTTCGAGCACGTACGTGGCTGTGCGGCGTTAATTGGTTTAAACAGTAATCCAAGACACTTGGTCAACAGGGTCCCGTATGCTATCGTTGATCGTAGCTGCTGTGGAAATCCTGGGCGCTTCGTTTGCTGGCCCGGCTACGTCAATTTGCTTTGTAACGGGATATTTTGCCGCTTCTCCTTTTTGGCCGACACAGTCAACGTGCGTTTTATGCTCCAGGCCTGCTTAATGACGGTTTGATGTGGCCAAGACAGCGGCACTGGGGCCAAAATGACAAGGGAAAGGCCTAGTAATAAGCTTCACGCGCTGTCAATGAGTTTCTGTTTGTGTGAGTGTGGCTTTCGTGGCAGGCGCAAATATTTACTCAACATAAAATAAATAAAGTTAATAATTATTCAACGTGGCTATAATTTACGCACTCTGGCATACTGCCCCTGCCCAACAGCACACGCACGCACACCCTCAGGCGCCGCCGTCTCGCTGGGAAATTAAACACTTACTTGATATGGGCCATTATCACGACTGCCAGCCGTACAGTTCTGCCGCGGGGCCCAGACACACAACACACAATACACACCACATGACGTATGCGTAATACGAGTGACAGACGCAGCCATCACTCATACGACATGCTGTGCACACATTCCCCGGCTGCCCACAAGAATATGTTATGTTTTATGTTTGTAAGCTGTCGCTTGCTCGTGTGTTGCTGTTCATATAAAATATTTAAAGGCAAATCAAATATACTTATCCTTCACTTATACAGTTTCTCACATTCTTCTGCTTCCAGCTATGCAAAGTTTCTCATCGCAGGCGTTTGGTTTATAGCTCTGGCGACGGCATTCCCAATTCCCGTCGTCTCCCGTGTGGTCTTGCCAACTTCCTTTTGGCACGAGAAATGCGAGAAGTAAGTATCTAGGAGCTGACAATACCATAAATAACTTACAAGAATGCTACGCTGCAATGCAGGGTACGTGTCGACCTTTATTGTCCCTCTTCCCCCACCCCACCATCATTGCTTAAATGCGTGTGAGTGGCCCTATCGTGCAGTCGCTGCAAAAATCGCATTTAAAAATGACTCCGTGCAATTGTCTGAAGAGTGGCACTTGAAAAGAAATGTGGCGTATTTAAGTCAACGCCAGGGCGTCTTGAACGTGGGCGACAGCACTTGAGCGAAGGCTCTCAGTGAACACAGTGTATAACTAATTCCCATCCACGATCCAAAGCAATGCATTTTTTTATGTTTTTGTTAAATTAGGTCGTGAATAATCAATTCCGAACAACACTCAAGTTATATAACGCCTTTGACAGTTTGAGTCAGGGAGTTTGATTTGCCCGTGCAAACCTCTCACCTTATTAATTAATAGTGGGGAACTCCAAAACTAGCTATAAAGGAAAAAAAAAGTAGCTATCAAATTAAAAACCCAGATTTACTCCGACTCCCAGAGATGTCCATGGAATTAATTAAACAGAGGCGGTCCCAACAATAAATAGAACCAAAGAGAGAGAGAGAGAGATAGGGAGTTCTGTATAAATGAATGTATTTTCAAAATTGAAAAAATAAATCACAGGGAAGTATTAAAGTTGTACAATTTATTGAGAGCAAGACAGAGAGCTGAATTAGCAGACAAATGTTTTATAATATTTTATAATGTAATCGAAATATTCTTCAGAAACATAAAAAATAAATTTCAGTTTTCTTTGCAACTAAATTTGAAATACTCTTTAAGAAGCTTCAATTATGAAGAATTAAAAAACCTAGAGCTAATGACGGAATAGAATAACTTTGTGATTTTAGGAAGAATTTGTTTGAAGGAATTTTTCTGTTAGAAAGCAGTCGACTGTCTTATTATGCTATGAAAAGGCGATGAAGCGGATTTCCCCATTCTTATACCACTGTGCTGGCATGTACCATGTAACTGTATTTGAGGATGTGTGCGTGTGTGGGTGGATAAGTGAACGTCATTTGTTGTTTTGGCGTGCGCGCCTCAGAAAATGACCCCAAGAAGCGATAACATCGCAAGTCGAGCTGAAAGCGAAAAGTGCAGGCAGCGACAGTCGAGCAAACTTGGACACGCTCTCAAGTGAACTGCAAATAAATAAATTACACACTTTGCGCTTTTCACTGATGCCTCTTGCTCCAGATGCGAATCCCAGCAGTGGCTCGTTGCGGCTGGGCGAACGTGCCACTCAGTTTCGAGTATGTGGGGAGTGGGCACTTCCTCTCGGAATCTTTTTCTGGTTTGTAAACCAACGAAAATGCGAAAATATTTGCTTGTGAGCCACACACTCTCACGCAGGCACACACGCAGACATGCAAAGCGTTGAGTCATGGCCGCCGAAAGTGGATTCGGTAGCTTCGAGGAAGTGGCCAAGCGTCATATTTTTGATGGAGCCGCTGAATGTAGGTTTAAAGAGTTCGCAGGAAGGACCGCCGCCCACATTTGGTTGCCTTTTCAGCTTCAACATTGTGTAATTTATTTGGGGGAATGTGCACTGCGCACATGATGAGAAATGTACGAGACAATGCTATAAAGAGCTCTACTTAATTAGCCCGTATATAACTCATACCAGTGGTGGCTAGGCACGAACAAACGATGATGGTGGTCAGCAGTGAAGGCCATGTGGGACTCTTTGGCTTGCAGCCAAAAAGCCATCAGATGCAGGCGGTAGCAACATTTGAGGTGCACAGTGGGTGTTAGTTAGTTCTCTACATCTACTTTTTTAACTGAAATTAAAGAACTCCCTTACCCATAGTAAACCACCATCTACAATCAATCATTCTGGACACTTTTTTAAGTTAATTCGCCCGAAATGTCAAATCTTCACCTACCACACCATGGAATAAGAAAAGGCATAGTATAAAAACTTACATCTTATCATCTAACGACCAGTTTGGCAAGAAAATGAAAGTAACTACAAATCTTGTTTCATAATCTCCTACCACTGAAGAATAAACCAATATATATATATATATATTCCGATACTACAGTTTATAGTGCCCCTTCGAGTGGACGATTATGTTATTTGTAGAGCATTGTTATTTTTTTATGACATATTTGTCCAAATTAAGGAAAGATTTCGCTTTACACACTTATATTGTTGGGAAACAGGTAACACATGTTGGTTAAGAACTTCACATTTAGTATCTACCGCTGAATAATAGATTAGGAAATTAGTATGCTTCTACTTACTTCATCTGCTAATATTAAGATATTTCAAAATCTGATCGAGTGTACTTAAGAATCGGATAAATTTGATTTGTGATAAAGCACTCAAAAAAGGAGATTGTTGATCATGTAAATCGTGCAGTTTATAAATATGTAGCTGAAGCGCCTTTATATCGTTTGTATTTTCCCCATTGTACATCGACGCATGTGCAACATTTTGTTGCATGTGCCATACAGTGTCGCAGACTCGGGCTCGTTGTAAAAGCGGGGAGCCGGAATTTCAAGCGCTTAGCATAAAAATGGAGCACTACATGCTATCATGCGTGGCATTGCCATTTCCATTTGTGTATTAGTTTGTGTGTGTGTGTGTGTGTGCGTGGGGTGGATGAATGCGTGTGGCATTTGCCTTAGCTGTGCCAGCCAGCATGTTGTCCAACAAACTAATGCAATTGTATATATCCTGTTTTATTGCATGCTCTGTCGTCCCTCATCACTCACCGCTGTCGTCTTGCGTTGACAACGTTCTAACGTCGACTTTATCCCTTAGATACATTTGCCGTGAGGAGTGGCCCTCCAATGAGCAGTATTACTACTACACACTGGCGCTCTTTACGCTGCAGTTCGTCGTGCCACTGCTGGTGCTCATCTTCACCTATACGCGCATAGCCATCGCCGTGTGGGGAAAGCGGCCTCCGGGAGAGGCGGAGAACTCGCGTGACCAGCGCATGGCTCGCTCCAAACGCAAGGTAAGAACCTCTTTTGCTTACTCATCCCTTTATACTAATGTAAACGAATGTGCTTTGACTCTTAACCGCAAAAACCAATTGTCTGAAAATGGATTTAGTCGCTAGGACATAAACGCAGGGGGTAGGTAGTCAAAACCACACCTTCCCTCCCCACGTACACGTATACACGCAAATATTCTTGGGAGTCTTGTTAGCAACGTCATTGTTCCATATTTATATAGTTTGCGCCCCCACCTCAGAGCAGTGGGCAAGTGGAGCCTTACCCGGCATTTGACTTTTGCATTGCTGTTCAGTGGAGTTCTATTGAAAATCAGATTTGAATAATTTTCTGTTTGTTGTGCACTTTCCACTTCAGTGCCTTGGCCTTGACAATGCTCAAATGTCCTTCCCTTCCCTGCACACCTAGCATTCTCCAGAAATGCTTCCATTCTGTCAGAACTTTAAAGTTGCAGTCGTCCGCATATCCATCTTGTGTTTCCTCTTTGTGCATCCAAGGTGTAAAAATTTCTGGAGCGTACGCAAGTATTTCATTTTGAAGTGAATTGCTAAAGAATTGAAAACAGTATATCAATGTCTGAGGAAATTAAGTGGCATATTCAAATTGCACTATGTGCATATTGATAAACATCAAATATTGCGAGTTCATTTCATATTTGTCCTGTTTTCCAATTAAAGTTGACAGCCACTTTAAGATGCGTTACAGTTCTATACAATTTGGTCATCTTCCAGTTGATGGCACTGCAGCGACTACCAAGTAATGCGCCTGAAATAGAAAATGGATGTGCGATTGAATTTAACAATTGTTTTCATTTGCGTTTTTTTCTAAATTAAAAGCAGCAGAAGAGGACCCTCCAACAACAAGAATGTAACTTAGGCATTTAGTAATTTCATATATGTATAGTATAGTATTTCATGGCAAATGTTATTTGCGTAATCAGGGTACTCGCCACAATCTGCTCCGAGTACAGTTCAACTCACTTAGCGATTAATTTAATTGACACTCTTCGGAACTCGCAATAAACTTTTACTGGCTTTTAAATCATTATATTTATATCTGATTATCTGTTGGGGCTCTTCACTTGAGAAAATGTGCAAAATCACGCATACGCCATGGTGCCAACTGCTTCCCAAGCTTTACATTGCCGCCACCGGGCAATTAAGATACCGAAGTCCATCAGCTAAAATTTTAATTTTACATTGCCTTTTAACAGTGCTGACTATTACGATTTAAGCCACTCAAGACGAGAGGGCGGTAGCGTTTACATTGAAGCTGGTTCCAAAGTGTCCACTGGACACAAGAAATTTGCTAATCATTTCGAGAGCCACTGGGAAATATTGTATTTTTGCGAAGTGCCTTAAAGGAAATTTTCAACTGGCGCCGGCGTCTGGTCACAAAGGAAAGGTGTTGAAAAACAAGCAAGAAAATTTAATTAAATATCGTTTAGTCAGCCATAATAAAAACGTCTCTGTACTAACTGAGGGGCAGGCAAAAAAATGTTGAGAAGAGACTCGCGACGGGCTATTCGAAAAGAAATCGCCAGTCATTTGTTGCTTATTTCTGGTGCTGCCTTTCTGTCTTTCTGTCTTTGGCTGTTTGCTAGTTTCGATGTTGCATTTTAAAGGATTGCCAAAATTGACCAACAGAGCTGCAAGCACAAGGCAATAACAACAAAGTTGTTGGCAGTCGGCAGTTGGCAGCGAAACGGAAAGTGAATGGCTTCGAACGGCATTGGACAGAGACAAAGAATGCCGGGTTGTGATAGGTAGGCAGGTCACTTGTACAGTGCTGCTTGTCTAACACGAAAATGCGGAAACTGAAATGAACCGAAGATGTGCAACTAAACTACAAATATGTATATCCGTAAATATTATTGTAGGATTTTCTGCCAATTGGAAAACTGTCTAGGCTATTTCAGAATGGATTGTACATATGTGATTGCAATGGCAACTTGTCCAGATATTAAATATAATATATAAATCGAAGGATATACATTTATTTTCCAAGTTGTTTGCGAAGATGTTCGACCGTAGAATCAGATGCGTCCGCCTTCGGCGCGTATTGAGTAATATCTGTGGTCTAACTGAATGGTGGGCGCAACTAAAGTTGTTGTTGCTGCTACTGCTGATTGCTGCTGCAACCGCAACACAACACCGCCATCATTATCATCATCGTCGTAGTCGACGTTATGGTTGTCAACGTAGTCGCAGCTGGACAAGTGCCATGAACTGGCGGAGACAGGAGGGAATGCTTTGGCTCAGTTTTTCCCATTGATTCATTTCTTTCCTCATTTTCTGCTCCGCTCTTTTTTGTTTTGTTTTCATTCTGCAGATGCGCATACGCTTCGACGAGTTGGCAAATATGGCACTAATAATTGCCAGCCATCGAGCTATCAGTAGCCGAAAAAGTATCTGACGGATGTCGTTTGCGGCAGCTGCGATTGATGGCAAGACATCATGCGCAAATATTGACGCTGGGAAATGAATCGAAATGAGATTTCAAATAAAACCACGTGGAGAGGTGGAAAATGCATCGAAGCAAAGCGAATAACTGCAGCTATCTAATTCGATTTGCTGTGTCGCATACTCGTAAATCTCTTAAACAATCCAACCCTGCTCGTGGTCAGCCCACGATTACAGTCACAGGCGGCAGCCACAATTAGCGCCAATATACGACGGTAGGAGCTTCTTCTATGTCTGAACAATCTGCAATTAAATTGGCAATAAAGCGGGGAGGCTCGTTTGACGACTGGTTACGTGGTCGTCACCCGCATTGCTCCCCGTACCGAGTGCCAGACAATTTCCTGAAACCACAAAGCAGTCGTTGCGGCGCGACGCGAGAAGACACGAGTAGGTGCCATCTTCAGCCTTTGCCTCAACTTCAGCCTCAGTTGCAGACACAGATGAAGCGCAGTTGCAGCTTTGGCACGTACAAGGCACCAAGTATGAGGTGCATGCGCCGCATAAATCTTTCTCATTTATTTATTTAAGATACATTAAAAGTGGCTTGGTGGCTGCCGCTGGGCTAGGGGCCCGAGTGGGTAACATTGTGACGCGACAACAGCTGCGCATGCGCCTTGTGATTATATGAGCATTATGCGCAATTTGGCACGCTGGCGACGCGGCTAGACTGCCCGACCCACTGCAGCAGGAAGCATAAGCACAAGCAAAGACGCAGCTGCATCGCTCGATGCCTGCATCTTTGTCTTATTGTCATGCCACAGACGTGCTGCTCCTCATTGACTTTGCTCGGCAAAATCAGAAATCAATTTGGCCGCTGGGAATCGAAGCAACGGCGGCGTTGCGGTTGGCTTGATGGCTCAGTTGGTGGAGGTCACATGGGTGACGAAACAGCATCGTTCACTTGATATCGACACTGGGGGTTAAGCGCTATGGCTGGTGTCAGTTTCCAATTGGTTAAGTTATTAAGTGAGCCGTCAGATTGCTCCAACAATTAGGGTGTTTCTTGATCTCAAATCGACGCACTTATTTGGTAATGATAGAAGCCAGTTGTGAAGGAATCCTATCTTCTGCCTCGGTTTATTTCAGTATTTGACTGAAGACCAATTGTTAAATTTGTTTAACACAAAAATTTGTATGTCTGCTGATATATTCCTATTAAGTCAAATCTATCATACATTTGATTGGTCATAAATTCTAAAAACTGCACGTCTTTTTAAATATTATAAAGTAAAAAAGGCGTCAACTGTCCCGTCTATCCTTTACTATTATTTAAATTAATTAAAAAGTGGTATTGGCAGCAACTCTGCACTAACCCGACCTGACATGTTCAACAATGGGGTTGTTATTCAACTGACTTGTGTGCTGCGTGAAACATTATCCCAATTATTCAAAGATTCCTCACAGGAGGTCAACCGTTTGCGTTTTATGTTTTCGACGAGCTGCAATTTTATTGTCATAAAACTCATGTGCAATATTTTCAAAATTTTCTATGACAACAGACAAATTTTGGTCGTTGTCAGGCTGCAATTGGCAGTTGACTCAAACAAATTGCCTCGAAATAAATCAATGACAGGCGAAGTGCAGCGCCTGTGACTGTGACTGCGACTGCGACTACGACTGCGACTGCGATGGTGGCAGCACAGACAGACAGAAGAGAGACGTGAGCGTGAGTTGAGATGGCGATTTATTTTTTCGTGAAGAAGTCGCGTGCAGAACAAGCGGCGGCAGCTGAAAAACTGGAAGACCAACAACGGAGATATAAATGCAGAGATAAACGAAAACGAATGGCAGCCAGGGATAGTGAGAGGGAAGTGAGGAATTTCGGAGTTCAGGGGTTGTTGCTGTTGTCGAGACTAATTGCAGACTTTATTACTGTTATTGTTGTTGTGGAGTTGTTGGTGGAGTTGCAGCTTTTATCTTTTAATTTGCCACAAAACGCACAAAGTGTGCGGAAGCATTTACAAACATACATACATGTATGTATGTATGTATGTATGTATGTATGTATGTATGTATGTATGTATGTATATATGTGAGGCTGTCAATATCTGTGTGTGGGTGTGGATGAGGATAGACACAACAGTTGCCAAGCCTGGGAACCCTCTCACTTTTTTCCCGTGCTCTTCCCATTGTCTGTGTGTGTGTGTGGTTGTGCGTGTGTGCTTGTGATGATGGAGATGATGCGACCAAGCTGCTGCTGTTGGCAGTGTCTCAGCTGTTGCCGCTGCTGCTTTTTCCTCTGCTGCCTGGCTGCTTGCTTGCTGGATATGACACAGATTACGTAATTTAAAATTAACATTTTAACACAATTCAACAGAAACGGACGATGGCTGCAACTGCGACTGCGACTGATGCTGAGACTGAGACTGCGACTATGACTGGACGGCTAAGTCGCAACTGCAGACGACAAAGCAAAGCAAAGCAAAGCAAAGCAAAGCAAAGAAAAAACCTAAGGCGAACAAAAACATCAAATGCGGACGCAACCCGTTGCCAGTCGTCAATATCTGCCTCGGCTTGGACTTGCCCATGTCTGGCCAACT